CAGGAGAAATGGGCCAAAATTCCTGCAAACTATTGTGAGAAGCTTGTGGAAGCATATCCAAAGCATTTGACCCAAGTCATACAACTAAAAGGCAGCTACCAAATACTAATGAAATGTATGCAAACTTTTAACTCTCAAGAAAATAATAAAAAATTGTCTAAAAAATTCTCTCTCTCATTATTTTGGCATTTAGCTTATAAAAATAATTTTGGTAATCCTATTTGACCAAAAAACAGGAAAAGTTTAATCAGATTTAATGTTAGACAGAGAGGAAAAAAAGCTTATGTGCCTTTTTATATAGTGTACGTAAACTTCTGGTTTTAACTGTAAATTTTGAAAGTTGAATGACTCTTGTATTCATGTTCGTTTCCATTTTTGCTCCTACTCAGATTCACAGAGCTGTAAGAGTCTTAAGTTAGAGCTGTCAACCATGGTCCAAACATAACGAACACTTCAATCTGACCAGGATACAAATCTGATGGTGTTAAAAACAAAAGTGACTCTGCTGCAGTCTCACGACTCTGTGGCATTCTGCAGCGTAGGTGAGATTTCCCATATGTCTTCATTTTGTGTCTGACTCCGCAGAAACGCGGTGGGAGTGAGGAGAGCAGAGCTGATGGATTGCACCCTGGGTCATGCATGACTTAGCATCTCGTTTTCTTTCCCCGCTTGCAGAGAGATGGGACGTGGAACAATAGCGGGATTTACACAGACGCACAGGAGTGTGAATGAGCTGGCGGTCTGTGCTGAGGTCACGGATGCTCAGGAGTAACACATGACAACACACACCAGTCTGAGACAGTCATGGCAGTATTACATACCATTGAGTTAAAGGGCTATTCTACCAGTTCACGTCTTTGTTCTGGCACAGACCAAACACTCATATGAAAACTGCATCAGCATCCCAGGATGTTTTCAGACCAAGTGGGACATGAAACCTCTCCAGCAGTTCTGGGTCTTTCCAGGAGGTCTCTTTACTGTTGGAAGAACATCTCAAAAGGGAGGGGTCCTCATCAAATGTGGAAAGCAGCTGACAGGATTTCTTTTGATGGAGCTGCTCTGGTCTAAGCTCCTTTTACTGTATTAGAGATCCAGTGTGCCCAGTTCTCTCGTGTGTGTTTGCATCACCCCAAGTCTGACCCAAACTTCCATTGGAGCTTTTACAACACGTGGCCCAGTTCAGTTTGATGTAGTTTTCTACCATAAGCCCTAATCATTCACCCTTGACTTGTGTGACCTGTAGGACAGCTTTAATTGGTTGAATTTTAATTTCAGCATCTCCATGCATCTCTCAAACCTGTCCTTTACCAGAAATCTAGAAAAATGAAGCTCACTGATTTTTCTGTTAGCTGTGCAAGAATTTCGGCCGAGTTAGACTAAAGCCAGGAAGTTAAGAGCAGGCATGATAGAGATGACATGAAAGCAGCTTTGGGGTCCTTTTCAAAACAAAAGCCTGACACTATTCTTCTTCTAGTATCATGCTTTTACTTTTAAGTTATATCCATGACATTTGCTTTTTTTAAAGTCACTTTAATGACATTTTATTTACAATGAGTTGTCATGAGTCACACTCGCTGTATATAGGAGACATCTGTTATCATTAACATCAGTCTCTCTCTCCCTCTGAGCTTCTCTCTATTCAGCTGCCATCTCTCCCCTGTGTTGACCCCTGACCAAACAAACCCTGGACACCTGCACCTGAAAGCATTCCTGACATAACTGATACATAAACAGTCACAATTCACTGAGGGAAATCCTTTCATCAATCATATTTATATGAGATGATCCAGTACCATCTCTCCACCTGATCTACAGGTTGTAGTGCGTCCTGCTCTACCTTCAGGGCTGGAAAGATACACTTTGTACAAATACCTGCATGTTGTATTGGACCGTGATGTGACCAAACTGCTGGTGGAAAAGCAGCTCACGTGTCCCTGATGCTCGATTGAAAACTCAGGGTGAATGAGCACAATCAACAGATCTGCAGATTTTGTGCTTGAGGACAGTCAAATAAAGAGCAGCAGACTTAAGTCCTTCCAGTAGAATATGTGGATTTTCATCAGTGGATGAACCTTGAGGTTTTGGTTGCTGCATTTAGAGAGCTGCTGCTGCAGAGATGAGCTGGTTTTTCTGTAGTTTTAGACATTTATCATCTCTTTATCCACGTTGTTCTTTGCTGATTGTGTCTTTTGGTTTTGAAGATAACCTCCCAATCTCCCAAAAACAGAATACGGTCACAGAGATGACAATATATAAGATGTTGATATGTCTTTTCATGGAGCACAAGGTCTGTTTCTATTGTGAGGAATCAGATCACTGTGATTTATGTTTTGAGGCTTCACTCAGCCCCAAAGAGCCAAGCACAGATTTCTGAATTTGTTTTTAAATGATTGAAACAGCCGCTCTACAAGGTTACAAGCATTTAAAGTATATGAAAGATATACACTTGATCTAACTGCAGCAATCAGACAATGCAGCAAAGACGAGCACAGCTTTCAAAATAAATGCATGGAGCTGAATGAATCTGATTTTCTAAATCAGCGTTACTGCAGCTCATAAAGATGCACGGCATCTGCCACGGACACCGAATAACCTTGTTACAAGTTCTCGGGGAGAAAATATATTAATAACCCTGTTAGAGTGGAAAAAATATATTACAGTGCCACCATGAACCTCCTTTTTACCCTGGCATAATGACATTTCAGTGAGAGCAAATGAAATGGGCCAATTTTCAAACTCATTACAAACTCGGCTCAAAAAAGAAATGAAAAAAAAAAGGGGGGGAAAGAGAGTAAAGAAAATGACAAATGATCAACATTGGCTTTGTGTCTGTGCAGTTGTGTATCTGTGTGAGGCTGTGAGTGTGTGTTTTCTGTAAGCATGTTGGGTGAGTAAACTCTGTGCTCATTCCTCCTGTGTGCAGATGCATGCTTCCTGCAGACTCATGTGCTTGTGTGTGTGTGTGTGTGTGTGTGTGTGTGTGTGTGTGTGTGTGTGTGTGTGTGTGTGTGTGTGTGTGTGTGTGTGTGTGCTTTGAGCGTACCTGTTTTTGATGCGTGTGCCTGCGTGCATCATCTGAGCCCAAAGCCGAGCTGACAGACAGCTTCCCTCCAGGAGCTCCTTAGTGTTTCTGATTGATCGTCATAATGCCAAGGTACAGGCCCTGTCCTTGGTGCCTATGCTAATCGCAGCCTCATGCATATTTATGAGCACCCAGGGAATCAAGCAGCTAAATAAAGGATGAGGCTGTTGGCTTGGAGCTGCGTTCATCACTGGCTCTGATTGATTGGAAAAGAAGTGTAAAGACCTGCGTGCTGTTGTTTTTTATTCCTCTCTTTCGCTCAGGGATCAGGACTTTGGAGGAGAGACCACAAACATCTGAAGTCTCCAGATTTAACAGTAAATCCAATAAAGTCCAGGGTTCTCATTAAGCATGTTAACTCTCTTTTTTAAACACTTTCTTCAATCAACGTATGTTTGTGCAGGTTTCTTAAATCTTATTGACCCCAAATTAAGAAGAGATTATTACTTTATTCCTGTGTTTCTGCACTCAGTTACTTTGATCCTTTCCAGACAGGTTTCCATTGCAACTCTCTTTTTTAGAGTAATACTTTTAGATTCACTTCATGTTTGTGCAGGGAAAGCATTTATATTTTATAATTTAAACATTTGTATCCGACCAAAAAAATTGACATGATACTATGATCTTTTATCATACTTAACAATGATATTTTTTATACTATAATGTGATATTTTTATCACACTATAATATGACAGTTTTATTATAGTATACCTTGATATTTTTATCATAATATTCTATGAAATTTTTACTGTACTATGACAATACTTTGACATTTTTTCATACTATAATATGACATTTTTTATCGTACTATACCATAAAAAAAGTGATTATACTTAACCATGATTTTTTAACATACCATAATGTGATATTTTTTTTACACTTTAATGATATCTATTATTGTATGATATTTTTATCATACAATAATAGATTTTTTTTCATATTTTACGATGACATTTTTACCATACTATAATATGGCATTTTTATTTAACTATACTATGATATTTTTATAGTATGATAAGATGATATTTTTATCATACTTTACTATGACTTTTTAACATGATATACCATGAGATATTTATCAAACCATACTATAATAGGAACAGCACAGTGGTGTAGTGGTTCACACTCTCACCTCACAGCAAGCAGGTCCTGAGTTCAAATGCCAATCACAGTGTTTCTGTAAAGAAAGTCCGTGTTCTCCCTGTTTCTGTGTGCATTTTTATTACACTGTTCTATGATTTTTTTCAACAAACCAAACTATGATATTTTTACCATACATTACTATGACACCCTTGTTATACTATAATATGATATTTTTTGTCAAACTATACTATGACATTTTTATTCTAAACTATATTTTATTATACAATTGTTATCTATGGTTTTTTATACTATACTATGAAATTGTTATCATACCTAACCATATTTTTTATATACTATACCATGACATTTATTTCACACTATATGATATTTTTATCATACTATACTATGGCATTTTTAACAAACTATACTATGATATTTTTATAGTACTAAACTATAATATAGTTGGCGCTGTTGTGTAGTGGTTAACACTGTTGACTTAAGAAGGTCCTGGGTTCAAATCAAGGTAAGGGTGTTTCTGTGTAGAATTTGCATGTTCTACCTTTTTCTGCATGGGTTTTGCGCAGATTTGCAAATAATATGCCATTGTCAAGTGTCTGTACTATATTAAAGTGAGCGTCAGAGCAGTACTCTTCTCTGTCACTGGGTGGCAGCAGACGGCTAATTACATGAAAGAAAAAAAAAAACGGAAAACAGAGAGAGACTGAGAACTGTTGAGGAAGAGCTTTGTGTGTCTTACATTTCTGCCAAGATATCAGCTTTGTGTTCATCTCAACAGCCAGGGCTGACACTGAGTGAGTATAAATAAATTAAGAAACTATATTCTAAGAATAAGAATAAGAAGAACATCCGTGAAGGGGAATTCAATTACCTGTTGTCTCACATAATATGTCTCTAAAAGCCATCTACTATTTACACAAGAGTTATACAGTCTGATGGCTGTTGGTACAAAAGATCTTCTGAATCTTTCTGTCTTGCAGCGAAGAGAGAGGAGCTGTCCACCACCATTGACCCTTTGGTCTATCAAGGTGTTGTGAAGTGGGTGATCCATGTTTATTAGAATATTCTCCACCTTCCTCGGTGTAGATCTCTCCACCACATCCTCCACTGAGTCCAGCCAAAGTCCTACCACAGAGCCAGCCTTTTTCACCAGTTTGTTAAGACGTCTTGCATCTTTGTGTTTGATGCTTCCTCCCAAGCAGACTGCAGCGTAGAACAGAATACTTGCCACCACAGACTGATAAAACATCTTCAGCATCGTTCTACAGATGTCTCTTGATTGGAGTCTTCTCAGGCAAAAGAGGCGGCTCTGCCCCTTTCTGTAGATGAAGTCTATATTCTTAGACCAGTTCAACTTGTTATCCAGATGTACACCTAGGTATTTATATGATGTCACCACTCCGATGTCCACTCCACAGGTATTCACTGGCTGAAGAGGGGGTTTGGATCTACGGGGTCTATGACCATCTCTTTCGTTTTTGAGGTGTTGAAGTGGGGGCAGTTTTTGTGACTCCAGTCACTTAAGGCTCTTATCAGATCTCTGTATTCAGCTTCTTGTCCATTTCTGATACATGCCACAATAGCTGTGTCATCTGAGTATTTCTGTCTGTGGCAGGGCTCAGTACTGTATCTGAAGTCTGACGTGTACAGTGTGAACAGGAATGGCGCCAGCACTGTCCCTTGTAGAGCCCCTGTACTGCTCATTAATGTCCCAGAAACACAGTTCCCCAGCCTGACAAACTGTGGCCTTCCTGTCAGGTAATCTGCAATCCAGGAAACACAGGCCGGATCCACTCCCATCTCTGTGAGCTTGTATTTGAGTATGGTGGGTTGGATGGTGTTGAATGCACTTGAAAAGTCAAAGAACATGATCCTCACATAAACTCCAAGCTCTTCCGGATGAGACAGGGCACGGTGAAGCATGTAGAGGACAGCATCATCCACTCCGATGTGTTCTTTGTATGCAAACTGCAGGGAATCCAGTTTGACTTTGACTTTGACCTCAAATTCTTCCAAGCTCCATCCTCACCCCGGTTTCAGTGACAGACAAGGACTGGTGTTCTAGGAGGGAGGCAGATGAAGTGGTCGAGACATTTGAATGAGATGGAGGAGAAACGGGAGAAGTTGTGGAGATTTGTCGCGGAGAGGAAGGTGGGGTAGCAGTGGAAGTGGGTGTGGCAGCAGTGTCAAATCTGTTGAAGAACAGGTTGAGTTCATCAGCTCTTTCCAGATCAGCCACCACTGGCTGTCTTTTCTTTTTACTGCTGTGTCCAGAGATGGTACTGATTCCTCTCCACACTTCACGGATGTTGCTGTGTTGTAGATTCTTGTCTATCTTATTTTTGTACTCCAGCTTTGCTATCTTCAGTCTTCTCTTCAACTCTTGTTGCACTTGTTTGAGTTATTCTTTGTCACCATACCCAAAAGCTTTCTTTTTCTGGTTAAGGATTGCTTTTAAGTCACTTGTGATCCAGGGTTTGTTTTTGGGGAAACAGCGAACAGTTTTTGTGGGTATAACTGTGTCTCTACAGAAGTTGACATATTCAGTAAAGCAGTCAACCTGTTTTTCAATGTTCATACTATCCACAGCTGTTTCCAGCAGCACATTCCAGTCTGTTGATTTAAAACAGTCCCTTAGAGCTTCACTGGCTTGAGGTGTCCATCCTCTGATTTTGACTTTGCTGCCTCAGTACACAAGGTCTGTAACAGGTTTGCAGATAGATCAAGTTATGATCTGACTTGCCCAGTGGGGGTAAGGCAATGGCTCTGTAGACCTCTTTGACGTTGGCATACAGCAGATCCAGGGTCTTGTTTTCTCTGGTAGGACAGTTCACAAACTGTGTGAATCCAGTCAGGTGAGAGGAGAGGGTGACATGGTTCATCTCCTGATATTATTATTAGTGCCTCAGGGTTTTGAGTCTGTAGCCTGACAACACTGTTTTGCAAAACATTGCACAGAATTTCTTCAGTTGATTTGGGTGGGATGTAAACAACTATTGCTATGATATGACTAAATTCTCTTGGAACATAATATGGCCGAAGTGCAACTGCCAACAGTTCAATATCTGGACAACACAACTTCTCCTTGACAGTTATGTGTGAAGGGTTACACCATCTCTGGTTGACAAACAAAGCCAGCCTCCTCCTTTCTTCTTGCCACTAGCTTAAGCATCTCTGTCTGACCTTATGAGAGTGAAGCCAGGTAGATCCACACTGAAGTCCGAGTTGTTTTGATTCAACCAGGTTTCAGTAAAACACAGAAAACTGCATTCACAGTATGCTTTCTCAGTCTTCACCAATATCTGCAGCTCATCACTTTTGTTGGGCAGAGAGTTGACGTTTCCTATGATGATTGATGGAAGAAAGGGTTTGTATCGCCACCTCCTAGCATTCAGCTTTGCCTTTACCTTTGCACCAGCACGGCAACCATGATAACACCTCCTGATGTCCTCTGGAATTGTATGTTGTTGTCCAAATTTGCTTTTCCTCAATGAAAGGAGCTCTTCTCTTGAGTAAACTCTTCACCCAGCAGAAATATCCATCAGCATCCAACAAAATGACAACAAAAATATAAAAAAAAACCTAGCAAAAATGACAGAGAATACGGAGAGACCAGATTTGCAGCAACCTCTCGGTTCAACCGCATCATTTAAAAAAAAAAAATCTTTTTTTTTTTTTTTCTAGGGATGCACCGAAAATTTGACAACCGAAAATGGCCAAAATGGTCTCTGGCCAAAACACTTATCTCACCGAAACAACATGGCCGAAACAGATGTTGTGATTTCACAAGCAAAAACTGCAACCAGTACGCGCTTGTCTGGATAAGAGCCAACAAGTCTGCAGTGTGGACGTATGTAGTATCTGACAACAAAGGATAGCGATTAGCATAGCGTGTAAAGCTAAAATTTCAAGAAGGGGTGCATCTGCAAAGAGTTCTTCACGTCGGGTTAAATTTATCACCTGTTATCCAAACATCCCGATCACCATTCTGAATATGAGATGAATGCAGCAGGCAACAGGAGAATCCCTCCAAGCATGCCCACTCTGTCTGCCGCTCAGAACATGCAGCAATTGGATAAATCAGTATTAATTTAATACAATTTTTAAATGTTACATGAATTAATATTTATGTATACAATTGCAATGCCTTGATTTTTGTGAGATTAATACACAGTCATAGCCATATATGGAATAGTACTAATAATTGGCATAGTAATTTCTATCAGTTTTCGGCCATGATTTCCTCATTTTCAGTTTTGGCCAAACATTTTCATTGCGGTGCATCCCTGCATTTTATAATATATAGTGTGTTAGGCTATAGAGTATCATTTTGGTTGGTGGTGTGCCCCAGGATTTTATCAATGTCAAAAAATGTGCCATGACTCAAAAGAGGTTAAAAATTACTGTACTATAATATGGCATTTTTATCAAACTGAAGTATAATATTATGATCACACTTTCTTTTTATCATACTAAACTGTGACATTTTAAACATAATATACTTTGGCGTTTTTTAACAAACTAAACTCTTATGTTTTTGTCATACTTTTTTTTTAATCATACTTAACATACTATGACATTTTTGTAATAGTATTATTAGATAATTTTATCATAATAAACTTTTTTTCTGTTAAACTATATATTTTTTTATTATACTGCACTATGACTTTTTAACATACAATACTGTGACATTTTTTATCATAATTAAATATGATATTTTGACATTATATTGGATGATATTTGTATAATACTTAACACATTTTTTTAACATACTATAACATGACAAATTTTTACATACTATATAATGAAATCTTAAGCATATTTTACTCTTTTTTTTCACAATACACAATGATTTTTAAGCATATCATACTATGACACTATTTCATCATACTATACTATGACATTTTTCTCATACTATACATTTTCAACATATTATTCTAACACATTATATCGTAATATACTTTTAAATTTTTTCAGCATACTATACTATGACATATTTATCATATTTTTGACATATAGTTTTGGACATGCTGTAGTCTGTCCAGTGCTTCGGTGGGAAGACTATAAAGGACACCATTACAGTAGTCCAGAAGGGAGGAGATGAAAGCATGGATCAGAGTCTCTGCAACAGAGTCTGATAGTGAGGGCCGGAGTCTGCAGATGTTTTTGAGGTGAAAGAAGGCGGATTTGGTGGCGTTACTGATGTGGGCTTGGAGTGAGAGGTTACAGTCCAGGATAACACCCAAGTTGCGCACTTCTTGGGAAGGCCTGATGGTACAGCCATCCACATTCAGAAGGATATCACCAACTTCCTTGGACAGAGATGGAGGGGCCACCACCATGAGGTCTGTTTTATTGTTGTTCAGTTTGAGTAGGTTGGTGGCCATCCATGTCTTTATTTCGTGTAGGCAGTGAACTAGTGATAGGGGAGGGAGATGGGCAGAAGGTTTGGTGCTGATATAGAGCTAGGTGTCATCAGCATAGTAATGGAAACTAAGTCCATGTTGACGGATGATCTGGCCAAGAGGGAGCATATAGATGGTGAACAGCAGGGGGCCAAGCACTGAGCCTTGGGGTACGCCGTGGTTGACTGGGGCTGGGGTCAAGTTGGAGTCCTTGATAGTGATGTATTGTGTCCTACTGGAGAGGTAGGAGTGAAACCAGGAGAGAGCGGAGTCAGAGAGGCCTAAGTGTTCATGGAGACGGTGAAGCAGGATGGTATGGGAGACTGTGTCAAAAGCTGCAGGTAGGTCCTGGAGGATGAGGAGACTGATGAGGCCATTGTCTGCTGCTATGAGGAGGTTGTTCATGATCTTAATGAGAGCTGTTTCTGTGCTGTGGTGGGGTCGAAAGCCAGATTGGAGGGATTCATAGAGTTCATGGTGGGACATGTGGTGTTGTAGTTGGACAGCCACTGCTCTTTCCAGGATCATACTGAGGAAGGGTAGGTTAGACGGTAATTTCCAGGGTCATCAGGGTCCAGGCTGGATTTTTTGAGGGTGGGAATGACCATAGCTGTCTTAAAACTGGAGGGCACCACACCTGGTGTAAGGGAGGTGTTAATGATGTTGGTCATGGGAGGGCAGAGTGTGGGCAGACATGCCTTTACCAGGGCCGTGGGCATGGGGTCCAGTTTGCTAGAGGTGGTTTTAGCTTTTGACACAAAGTCCATGACCTGGTTATTGCTGAGTGGTGAGAATGAGGAGAGGGAGCACTGACGTGGACAGGCAGAAGAGGTTGAGTTGCAGTCCTTCAGGTGAGAGGCAGGTGGACATGGAGCGCCAATCTGACGGAGCTGCAGGTGAATGTCGTCCACTTTCTGCTGAAAGAAAGTTTGGAACTTACAGCAGAGTTCTGCGGCGTCCGATGGTTGGGGTGGATCTGGAGGGCGGAGGAGACGGTTTACAGTGGAGAAGAGCTGCTTTGGGTGATTCTGGTGTTTACTGATGAGAGTGGAGTAGTACAGAGTTTTTGCCCTGGAGAGAGCCTCTTTGTAATTCCCCAAATGGTCTTTGTAGGCCTCTTGATTACAACTAGTCCAGATTTTTTTGTACAGTCTTTCAAGCCAACGCCCAGTTGCCTTCAGGAGGCGGAGCTCAGGAGTTAACCAAGGTGCAGGCTGGCTGAAAGTGGTGGACACAGTCTTCAGAGGGGCTACAGCGTCCAGACTGAGAGAGAGAGCTTTGTTGTAGTGCTCAGTGAGGGCATCGACAGTGTGGCTAGAGGGGTGGGAGGCAAGATGTAGTGCCAGCATTCTCGACAGTGCAGGTGTGGATACACGCTTGATGTGCCTGAATGTGATTGTTCGATTCACGCGCAGTCTGGGTAGAGGCTCAGGTACAGAGAAGAGGATGGCAAGGTGATCCAAGACAGCTAGGTCCAGGCACTGGAGATTGAGTGGAGTTATGCCAGTGGAGCACACTAAGTCCAAAGTGTGGCCTTTGAAATGTGTGGGACCATGTACGTGCTGTGTAATGTTTAAACATTCAAGGAGAGATAAGAACTCAGTTGCGAAAGGGCAGCTATGTGAGTCCACATGAATATTAAAATTGCCCAAAATAATTGTGGATGGGGACATGGGGCAGACAGTGGTGAGTAACTCAGAGAACTCAGAGAGAAACCCACTGGTGGTTTTGGGAGGGCGGGAGACAAGCACCACTTGTAGCTGTGCAGCCCCTGTCAACACAAAATGCATGCATTCAAAAGTGCTGGAGTTAATGGGAAGATCTTTGATCATTATGTCTGATTTGTGTATGACAGCCAGCCCACCACCACGGCCCATGGAGTGAGGCTTTTGGATGTATACATAGCCTGGGGGAGTGGCCAGAATGAGAGATATAAAATCCTGCTGATTTTGCCATGTCTTAGTCAGACACATGAAATGGAGTTCTCTTTCAGTGATTATGTCATGGATTAATTCTGCCTTGTTGTTTAATGAGCAAGTATTCAGAAGCATAAAGTTTGCAGTCTTTTTGGTGGACGCATCAGAGGGGCCAGGTATGACAGCACAAGCCAGAGGACACAGGTTGTCAAGCTCTGCGTGACATTTGTTTTGATGACGTTGCAACAAGGAAGTATGGCATCGGACTGTAGGAGTTGTATTCATATGCACAAACTTATATCGGGAGGCTCTGTGGACATATCTGGGACGACGCAAGATGTGGAGAGACTTTAAGACATCTAGGCATGTTGGTCGGCAAGACTAGGATCTGCCGCTGGTGGTGCCAGGGTAGCCTGTCCAACAGTAAGATTCCAGTTTGTTCCATAGTAGCCAGCTGAATTCATCCAGGTAACATTGGTAGTGCTTGATCACTACTGGTCGCGCAGTGCAATCAAAGTTCTACTCGAAAAGTATGCGAAAATGGCAGAATTAGACTCGCGAAATGTATCAGGTGGATTGTAAATAGTAAAATAGCTGGACATGAGAAGCGGCGACATACACGCCAGCGTCTTCTCATGGCACCAGTTTGCTCCACTGAGCAAATACTTTGATATTTTATGATCATTTATATTTATGATCATTTATATTTTTTACATACGATAGTCAATTTTAAGACTTATGTACTGTACATCTTCTTGCAATAAGGCTTTGTATGGCAGCAGCGCCCCCTCAAACACAAGTATGGCTTTTTGCAAATGCGCGCAAATGACTCTCTTCAAAGCAAACCATTTACACTTTCGATGTTATTTCTCTCCCAGTCTGTTAGGTCTGTTGAGGTCCATATCAAAAAATCATCTGTTTAGGTCAAAGGGCATGGCCATGGCGTCCTTTCAAACTCTGAGGTCTTTTCACAGTACCAACAAAACTCAAAGGCAGTCACAGGTACCAACCATCACAAAGGTTAGGGCTGCTGTGGAAAGCATTGCACCAGGGATGGCAGGCGGTAGGAAAATAGTGGCAGTGCACCGGGGAGGTGGTTCACAGAGGTAAATTTCACCTTTTTCCTTGCATTTTTTACTTTTATCTAGTCAATGTACTTTGACTCTGTCTCATAATCTTAACATTTTGTCTTCTTAATTTGACTATTTGTGCCATATTCATTGTCGTTTGTTCACATTTTGTATTTTTTTCTCCATACTTATATCCTTCTATTTTACATTATGACTTTTCATCTTATAATTATGCCTTTTTTTTTGTCATGTGTGTCTGTTTATCAAGTAATATTTTTTTTTCTAATATTATCACAAACAACTTTTAATCTCCTAATTTCGTTTTTATCTCAAAATTTTCAGATTTGATTCATGATTATAATTGTATACTATAAACTTTTTAATCCTGTCTATTTTTCCTTTATGATTATTTATTTAATTTAAACAATTTTAACATGTTTTCCATAATATTGACTTTAAATTCAGGTCCTGGTCTCCTTTCCTTACTTTAAACTCTCATAAATTGGCTCCTTTAGTCTGAGGATGAAAAAAGCAAAATTAAACATTGATTAACTCATTTAATAAAAAAAAAAAAAAAAAAAAAAAAAAAAAAGAGTAATTATTTGCTGGTTTTTGTTCAGATGTCTGCCTGAAAAGAAAAACACTGTAAATCTTGATTGACGTTTTGGTCCCTTTATTTCATTTTTAACCACATTTCAAACAACTAAACAACCAATGGTAATGGTGTCACCAGATCTAAACAACACTTTGCTAGACAAATAAACATCAGAACAATAATTATACCAAATTAATGTACATATTCAGAAAAAAAGAGAGAAAATCAAAGCAAATATATAATACAGACGAACGGCTGTGAACCGAGCCAAAAGAATAATAAAGCCTTGGTGGAAATAAACATGATAAATGTCTGTGGCATTCACATTGTCGTCAATACAACACACTGACACTCTTTGTCTGGATAGGTCCATAAAATGAGCCTTAAAGTGGACTCTGGCAAACAGAACAGGTGCAAAGACTCAACAAACATGTTTAAGTTTGGACCAGAAGCATCAACACATAAAAAACTTCAACTAACAAAAAAACTTGAGCTAACAATATAACATCAGGACACCAATGAGACTTTAGCTTCCTGAAAGGTGTAGGTGACATCTATCTATGTAGACTTAGAAATATCTGATTTGTTTTAAACTTTGTGGTTTTGTTCCTGTATAACCTAAAAATTCACTGTTATCATGTTTCAGTTCCTCAACAGTATCATTAAAAACAGCAGCACAGGTCTGACCCATGTTTTAGAAATGAAAACAGGAAATCAGATGTTATTAGGACAGAAATTGGGAGTAAACAAAGAAGTAATTGGGGACTGAGGTCTGGTTCACATCCTGGAAAATGCTTATTAACTCCAAATACCCAAACTGAACCGAGGACCGGGTTCACCTCATCTGACCCCATTTAACTAAAACAAATATAGTGTTGCTGAGAGAGGAGACACCAAATTAATTTTTGAACACACTTACTGTATGTGCTTAGTGGAACTAAATTTGATCCTATGTTTGTAGAGGAGGAGTAAACTCAACCCATCTGTTTGGTTTTCACTGGGAAACAATTTAATCCAGATCGACTTTAACACAAGGATGGACCTCAGGATTCAGGTCAGCAAAGACCAAACGTGTCCCTTTTATTACCGTGTGCAGAGTTAACAAGTTAACCAATCCAGTCTTTCTGGTCCTATCAGAACTACAGATAACTTTTTTACAACCCCAGATCCAGAGCAGTCTGGACGCTGTGTAGATGTTAGATCATTTAAACCCCATAATTCAGCAGAAATGAAGCGAAGACCAGACATTAAAATCACCATTATGTTAAATCAGCAGGACTCTTCTCCTACAGAGTCATGCTATTGTAATCCCTGTTTGGGATCATATGAAGGTCTTCCCTGAAAAAGTTTTTGTCTGGATGGCAGCAGATGTTGCTCCTAAACCTGGAGATATTGTTTAAACCTGAGGATGCAGTATCTATGACTTTCAGTTCTTCATTGAAAGGGTAACTGGACTTACTTGAGACATTTCCACATTAGGCAAAATGTCCCAAGTAAGTCCAGTTGTCCTTTCCAAAAGAGTGTTAGATTTTGATTCATCAGACATCAGGACAGTTGACAGACAAGTGATGTTAAGCCCATGTAGTGACTCCAACTACAGAGTCCTGATGCTCCTGAACCTGAAGATATTGTTCAGCATTAAAGGAGCCTTCACGGATGTGGAAGATACCCATTACATAGACTCTGATGATCCCCAGACCATCAGCGATGCTGTGTCCATGGTTCTCTCTTTGCATGGTTTAGTCTCCAGTGAGAAACTGACCCTCTTGGACTGGGATATTTGGATGTGGTTTTAAGCCCATGGGTCTGTGTTAGGGTTGAGACTAACCTCATTATTCATATAGTAATTTTTCAGTGTTTTTGATAAACTCTTGCTGTCTTTCCACTTTTGCATTGGGTTCAAACAATTCATCCAAATCTGTTTGTGTCCACATGGAAAGGGCGGTTGTATTAAATTACCTAAAAGCAAAGTATAAGGAACATGAATATTACAGATATGTCTACACCCTGGCCTCACTCAAAATACAGGAAAACACAAGACCTACCAGGAAAGAGAAGGAAGAACTACTAGTAAGAACTACTGCGTCTTTAAAGCTCACGCTAAAGTCTAAATAAGAAAAACCAACACAATGCCATTCAGACTTGAAAAGCCTGCGAGCGGCACTGAACTGAAAATAAATATAATAAGGCGTCTGATTGATTGCTTTGGCCTGGCTGCATTTCAGGAGAAAAGGGAGGGAAAAGTTTCAGAACATTAGAGTCGAGATAAGCTCCAGTCTGAGTCAAAGTCCAAAGAAGACGACAAAATGGGGGCAGGAAGGAAGAATAAGTTACACTTCTGTAGTTTCATCTGAAGATAGAGTTTTATTATGGCCTTCTCCTTTTAAACCTTGTCATTTTCAAATATCATCAATTTAATCCAAAGTAACAAAAAAGAAAACTGCTCCCTCATTTAAAGTCACTCTGATGTCAGAGAAATGTACAGTATGTAAAAAAAAATCATCTGTACGTTTGAGACGTCTGCAGAAATGCTTCAAATAAAAACCACATAAACAGCTTCGAAATGAAAAGCTTCATTTGTGATGACGCATCTGGTGCTTGATGTTTGTCTGTTTGTTTGTTTGACTGTGGTTGTCAGATCTTATTTACAGTGAGGGTGGATGCACACCGCCAGACTCTCAGATTTGGACCGCTGCTGCTGCTGCAGGCCCGGCACAGCTGGATTTGGACTTTGTTTGCTTTGTTAAATTGCATTGTAATTGCACATGCACTTTATTAGACTTCTTTTCCACACAAAAAAGGCAGCTCTGTCAAAATTTAGTGAGAGATGATTTATTCTCCGAGGAGAATTTTGGAAACTAAAGCATCTTTTGTGAGCAGTGATTGAATAACACATTTAATTCCTGTTCAACAATGAGGCTTGACTGCTTTTTATTTCAAAGAGAGCTGGCAGAATTATGAAGTGTTGTTTAATTTGAAAAAGAAAATCTACTTTGGTGGATTCAATTGAAAACAGCATCAATGTTCAGTCAGGGTAAAACTCCTGATTTGTTGCAGACCATTTGGAGGGATCAATATTCGAGAGTTTGGAGGACTGAGGAGATCCTGCAGCATGCATCCATCCTTCAGAGGGAGACAGCATTCAAGGCGTAGAACAGATCTCAAATCTCAAAAGGAGAAACTGTACAGTTGTCACATCACAGCCCAGCAGAGGACAGAGAGACGAAGGAAAAGTGGCCCTTTTTTTCAACATGTGATTTCTTCTTTTTGAACATATCCTTTTTTCTTTTCTCTTTGTACAAGCATGTAAACCCCCCCAACCCCCCAACACATACACACCTCAAAGTCACCGGTGTGTGTGTGTGTGTGTCCTGACGCTTTTTCACCGTCTGTACAAGTCGTGTGCCTGTGTGTTGTCCCAGGCACACATATAGATACACACTCATATATGCAAGCATGCCCTTTCTTCTGCACACACACACACACACACACACACACACACACACACACACACACACACACACACACACACACACACACACACACACTATCGCAGGCACACATGCTCACAGGTTCGGTTTTGGGTCAACACAGCTCTGTGTCGCCCAGTGTCGCGTTGA